CATCAATGCCGGTGGACCTGGAGCTTGTAAGACACTCCCCGATATTCTACGCAACATCATGGTTGACGACTCCAGTAATCTACGGGTTTATCCTCGTCTTTATCCTCCAATGCTTTTTGGGTGCCTCCTTGGCTGAATTTGTGTCTGCATACCCGGTCGAAGGTGGCATGTACCATTGGATTGCTGCTATTGCCCCGAAACGATACAACAGCATTCTAAGCTTCGCGACGGGTTGGAGCACGGTGTTTGGATGTGAGCTTGGGTGCAATCTATTGATCGGGAAAGAAGTCTGACGGGAACAGGGATATTCACAACCGCATCTACCAATTTGATCTACGCAACCAACTTCATGGCCTTGATTGCGCTGTACCAGACGGATCTCGTGATTCAGCCATGGATGACCTTCGTTGCGTACCAGGGCTTCAACATTTTGACAGGCGGGATAGTCATGTTTGGGAATCGTTATATTCCACTTATCAACAAGTTCTCCTGTGAGTTGGTATTTTCCTTGTTCCATAAATCTACCATGCTGACAGTCAAGCAAGTATGCTATCTCCAACTGGCCTGGTTCGTTATCATGGTCACCGTTGCTGCCGCAGCTCCCAAGCACAACGACAGCGAATTCGTTTTTAGAACGTGGATGAACAACACGGGCTGGGAGAACAATGTAATTTGCTTCATCACAGGACTGGTGAACCCGCTATACTCTCTGGGTGGTCTGGATGGCATAACAGTCCGTCTCCCCTTTTTCTGAATATGTCTAGGCTCTTCTGACCAGAATTGCAGCACATCACAGAGGAAATGCCAAACGTAAGTAGCATGGCTCTAGTTCACATCCAACCACTAACTTGACTCGCCCAACAGCCTGGACGAAACGCTCCTTTAGCCCTCGGTGAGCTCTTTTCTCCCCTTGCAGCCTTGCAACTAATGAGTCTAATGAATCGAACAGCCTGCACGCTCGGCATCGCCTTCGTGACCGGACTTACTTACCTTCTCAGTCTCATGTACTCCGTCCAAGACTACACCAGCCTCGCTTCAACCCAGACGGGCCTCCCGCTGGCAGAGATCTTCCGCCAAGCGACTCAGACCCGCGGCGGTGCCTTTGCCTTGACCTTTATGCTGTGGGTGGCTCTAGGCCCATGCATGATCGGCTCTCAGCTAAGTATGCCCATGCGCCACCTCCACCCAGCTTTCTCTGCAGTCACTAACCAACATCTCACACTCTAGGTACCGGCCGAGTCTTCTGGGCTTTCGCTCGAGACGGCGGTCTCCCCCTCTCGAGGATGTAAGCAGCTTCCCAAACCTAGTATTCATACTACGAAAACCACCTAACAGGCAATTCTAGCTGGGCAAAAGTCAACCCCCGCTTCGAGACCCCGTTCAACGCCCAGCTATGCGTGGGCGTCATCACTGCCCTGCTGGGCTGTATCTATCTCGGTTCCAGCACCGCCTTCAACGCCATGATGAGCTCGGCAGTGTCAGTGCAGACCCTTTTTCCTTGTGTGAGGTACAAATGTGCAACTCGACATGCTAATCCGTGAGATACAGGACAATTAACAATCTGGCCTATCTCGTTCCTATCCTCACCAACGTCCTCGTGGGGCGCCGGACGATGCACCGCGGTCCGTTTTACCTGAGTTATGTGCCCGGTATGGCTGTGAATATTATTACGGTTGCATGGCTGGTGTTTGCCATTGTATTTTTCTCGTTCCCGTATTATATGCCCGTCACTGGTGAGTCCAACCTTGAGGAGAAGAAGATAGTGACGCGGGAAAAGCTGACAGGCTGGACAGCGTCAAATATGAATTACACCTGTGCTTGCGTTGGTGGATTCCTGCTTATCGAGTTGCTTTGGTGGTTTGTTGCGGGGAAGAAGTACTCGAAGAATATGCAAAAGGCTCGCGAGGAGGAGCAGAATGCCGCTCGTGCTACGATGGTTACTACTCACGAGGGAAAGGAGTAGGGTTGTAAGACCTTGACCTACGACATATAGTGACATTGTAGGCTTTTCCATTGAATATCATGCTAACTGTGTATCGGTAGCCGACACCAGAGTGTGTTTTAGAATGACGCCGTATCTTCATGTAGTCATTGCTCATGTATTTCAAGCCGGAGGGCTATTACCACAAATGCCTGTAGAGTTGACTAATAGACAAGTCGACATGATTTCGACATAAGATAATCGATCGAGTGGAAATGGTACTAGCACATCCGACCAAAGAGAAACTCCTTGACGATGGGCGAGCCCGAGAATTCGGGATTGAGTAGGACGCAGCTAGGTATCTGATGTTAAATCCAGATGGGAGATTGTCGATAGGATGGCAAACTTACTTCAAGAAGTATTCCAGACCGATTCGTCGGGATTCAAGAAATGCAGGGCGAAACTTATCTGGGGATGATCGTTAACTGAGAGTCAGTTTTGAGCAGAGAAAGAAACATACAGAGTACACTTTTAGGAGGCAGTGCTGGTAGAGCGTTTTTCGCATGTGGAAACGAGGCTTGCAATTGACGTCGTAGGTCATCAAATTCGGAATATCTGTGCATCGTGAGCACGATGAACTGTCGTCCAAATGTTCGGGTCCGATAGGATGATATGATCGGGACGTACCTCATGCGAACAGTGATGGGACCGCCCTACGGCTATGTTAGCATCAGATCAATATAGATTGTTGGTCACGAGCGCGGAGAAAACATACTTCAAGGGTCTGTATTCTGCAATTCCAAACAACATACGCTCCTACTCCTGTCTTCCCTTGCACAACCGCATAGTCATCGACGGTGACACTCTTGGCCCAGAGACCCCGGCTGGTTTCCGAGTTGGGATCCTCAGAGTGATCCTCTAATGTGATGGCCGGCTGATCTAGAGAGACCTGAGATGTGCGGGATGCATTCCGGTGGTGGCTCCAGTACGGCGGAATCACACCGGAGACGGGACGATCACTGGACGAGATATGATGGGCTTGCGGGAAGACAGAGCCATTGCTCACGCTAACGCCGTCGGATAGCGCAGCAGAGACAATTGTATCTGTATTGATTGCGGGGGAGGATGTGGTGATGGAAAACTGGGGAGGGGAGGATAACGGCTGCGGCCGAGGCACCGAACCGGTCTCCTCATTCGCTGGCTCCATCCATTTAACTACCTAAGGGGGGGAATTGGAAGTGCTGGCACGGAGGTAACCAGGCAGGGAGAGTGACAATCAAATTCTGGTACTCTGTAATATTTGGCTAAAACAAGTAAGTAAAACGGAACGAAATGCAACCTAAAATGAGGGGAGCAAACGGTGGAAGCAAGGGTATGGGAGGCACTGATATTGAACACTAACGGGGTTCACTAGTGAAGCTTGCTGAGCGGTTGGTCTGTGTCCCGCTCAGTGGATGTAGTAGATATGCAGCGAGAGTCTGAGAGGCGTCGAGAGGAAAGTAAAAATAGAAAAGAAATCAGATCAGGTGCAAGGTTACTTCAAAAAAATGTTGTCCATGAGAAATTGATGACGAGTCTGAGACATAACCAATGTCCTTTGCATTTCTTGATTCTCGGATCGATCTCCTGGTCTTGGTGTCCTCAGGCCAAATGATGGCCAGATCACGGGACTTCCAAGAATACCGCAAATTGGAGAATAAAGTCATGAGTCAGCAAGTTTCCTTATTCGTACTAGTCACTCCATTTTCTTTCGGTTCTTCATCGCCCTCGGAATGCTGCAAGCAGCTGTCTTCAGTTATTGTTTGATCAAACTTTATCACAAGAAATCATCTTCTTTCCTCCGTCCCAACTTATGCCTGACTATCTGTTCGAAGAGTATCTTCGTTTGATGATCTGGGACAGCATTAGCCGTTCTTCCGAAATCGCCTTCGTTTTCGTTCTATTAGCAACCAGTACCATCCATCTAGTGTAAACACTAGAGGAAAGCCAAGAGTGGTTCCGTCCAAGCAGATTCCTTGTTTGGGGAAAGTCAATTTCTCCATGTGAGACATCTGGACACCTCCCCGAGCAGTTATCCGTCAATAATATTGATCGGCTCTCTTCTTTTCCGAACCATCCCAACAACATGTTTCGGCTCCAGAGTCAGGTGCGGAGAAGACACAATGATAAGGGTTTGGATTATTGGAAGTACGAATTTGTAGTCATAAATTTGGGACTGCCCACGTCCGATAGGAAGAATATGGATTCCCAGCACCGATAGGGGTTCTGGGCTCGGGACGCAGACCCTAGTTTGTATTATTGAGGATTCCCCCGGATCGACATTTTTTTTTTTTTCTTTTTTTCCTTCCTTCAAGAGAAAACAGTAGCCCCTTAACACAGCAGACTCCCTTTATTTCTGGCCACCACCCGATGGGATCCATATTCTAGATTGCTTTGGAGTCATCTTCTACCTTACAAACGAGACAATCCCATGCTAGCCACCCGACTTTCTCTTCCAAGATTGCTGCAAACCAAGAAAGGCTGGATGGTCCGATACCACGCTTGGCAGGTGACTAGATACGGAGCATCGTACTACTCTACTCCGTACTACGTGCTCGGATAGCTCGCCACCAGTTTCCAGTGACAGATATAGTAGACTATGTAGTCTCAAATGTTGTGTAGCGCTAGTCCTTTACTAGTCTACTGCCGCAGTAGTACCACGGACTACGGACTGGCTTGTTTAAAAGCTCCTGCGTCGGCATATTCAGCAGTCCATCCGGAGCTTCTCCTCACTGTCGACTTGTTTGCTTCTCCACTTGTACGGTTGGTTCGGTGGTTCCCAGGTCAATTCCAAGAGCCCATCTTCTTCTTCCACTTTCCATTCAGAGCTTCCGTTATCAGCAGTGGACTGTGTCATAAGGGCAAAGGGCGGTGTTCTTGACCGTTGGTTCTTCTGAAAATCTCTCTTCTCTCTCCCTCATACTCTTTTGAGACCTTGACTCTCCAATTATCCTAAGACTCGCCTCGAATAGAGCTTAGAAAGCTTCAGTCGCGATTGTCACGTTCTTCGTTCAATCGTCAACACACCGTCATAGGCAAGATGATTTTCTCTCAAGCTCTGATTGTCGCCGCCTCGATGGCCGGACTGGTCAGCAGCCAAACTTGGACTGCCGTCAACATCAGTGCCATCGACCCCGCATTACGAAGTAGGTCTCAGATACATTAGATTTTACACTCGAGCTCTGTCTGACTACTTCGACCCTGCCAGGCAAATGGTGTCTCGATCAGACCTCGTCCTGTCCCCTCCTCTGTCTTCAAATCAATGCCACTAGCGATACACAACAGAACGACTGCGACTCTGTAAGTCAAAATCAGACCGCTCGGCCCACCTCCTAGAATAATTTGCTGACAGACTTTCTTTACCTTCGGATAGGATACTCTCTCTTACAATTGTGTTTGCTCCAACGGCATCTCTCCAAACACTTCCGAATACTCTCAGACCATTCCCTACTACCTCTGCACCGAGGCCAACGAGGAGTGTGTTAATCGATGCGACAGCTCCAACTCAGCCTGTCAGTCTGCTTGTCGCTCGAAGCACCCTTGTGGAGCTCAAAATCCCACGCGCCACAATGTCACTACGACCACCAGTGCCACATCGAACCCTACCGGCAATGCTGCTACAACCACGACTCTGGCCGCATTCACAGGAGAGGCCACGAGCAAGAACGCAGCAGTCAGGGTCTCGTCCGTTGACATCGGACATGTGTATGGTCTGTGTGTTGTAGTGGGTGGTTTCATTGCTGGGTTCGCAGTGCTGCTGTAAACAGCTTGCGCTGAACCCCCACTAGACTGTGAGCTGTAGATTGATACAGCTCGCGATAGTTTTCTGGATTGTAATTGATTCCTGTTGATGTTATCCTAAGACACTGCCAGCGTCATTTCATGTCTCCGTTTCTGTTTTCCTTGCATACAGCATGGAGTCCCCGCTATCGTCATGCCCAGCTTATTCTTTTGAAGACTTCGCGAACGCCTTTGTTCTGTGACATATTGATCAACTTTCACGACCTATACCTATCTGAATAATCATAATCACAGTGCTTCCTCTGGATTTGTTGCAGATACATCTTCTTAATGACTAAGAGTATGATTGGTTGTAGTGGCATTTAGCCATCAAACACAGCGACGGATCCACGAGATGAGCATCTACTCCAGCTGATGTGGAAGGTACGTCCGTCTTGCCTTACAACATCTTGAACCGGCTCGAACGGCATGCATATCAGTGAAGAAACAAACATGACGGACAGGATATGGAAACCTGGGAGATATAACGTACCTAGGTACTGGTTCTCCTAGTCAGTGCTAGGCTGGCTGTTCCTCTCAGATTTGGTTGGTACACTCTTTCAAGGCTCCCCTGTTTGATGAGTCGTTCCTGCTCCGTCTCGTCTTACTACCCCGTTCCTTCCTCCGGGAGACTTTTTCCTGTGCCGTTTCGCCGCCCTTCCCGTTCATCTCTCAGCAGTAATCTCTGGGTTGGATTCACTTCTGCCTGGAAGAGCATGTGTACCCGCAGTCAAGCCATCTCAGCGACCTGCTTCTTTCTTTCGACTCCAGATTATCCTTCCTCTTGAATTGTCATCGCTACATACCTAGACGAGGTCATACTGACAGAATGCCTAGGGTATGCATCAGCCAGCACCTCTCGAATTGTATTTGAATAGGCTCAACGGTGAGGTGGTTACTGATGAGCAACAGGGTCCGTTTTGTCAACTCTGCTTGCAAAGAGGTCATTCCCTGATCAGATGTCCTCTAAGAGAGGGTCTGATATTCCTCGTATGTGCCTTGGCGATTGAACTCATCATTATACCGCAGACTGACGTTTGATGCAGGGCCACGTGTCGATGATGCTGCAACTTCCCAACGAAACGGAGAGAATCTCGACGCCGTCGGGAAATACAAACAATAGATCAGATTGGCGCCGCCGGAGAAGATGGTTGAACGCCAGCCGTCGCATGAGAGAGCGAATTACTAGGAGAGGCAATACGGTAGATCTGCACGTGCAACTATACACCGAAGTAGGACTGACATACACGCTAGAACAATCATGCCAGCCGTGGCAACTATGCAGCTGTCCAGTCTATGCCACCTCCACCTCCCCCACCGAATACACGGTAAGCACCTCATTTCGCATGTCTACGGATGTATAAATGACAAAGCAAAAAGTGCAATCAGTATGGCGGGAAACGCATCCGTCATAACGGTTGGGTATGTATCATATCTCAACAGACGTGCCAGGCTCAATGTTGACACTTATCCTAGCTCATCCTCACCCTCAGTCCTTTATTCTACCTAGTGAGAGAAGACCCCTGTAGGATCGTCATTAATGCTGACTTTCTCCACAGCTCTTCAACAAGCGACTCGACCCTTGCAGACGAGAATCAGTGAGTATATATCAAGTTCCTGTTCAATCGCGTAAGCCTGAAGCTCACTGCCTAATAGCACAAACCCAAGGTCGGCTTGACGCTTTGTTCCTATGCTTATTGCATAAACTGATATTGAACTTCATAGCGGAGATCGCTCCTTCATGTCTGAGACGGCTGGGAGTTCTCAGGCGTCATCAAACGGCCTTCCCCTGAGACTCAGCAACGAAACTAGGCTGCCTGCAGATTCGAACAACGGGGGGCTAGTCAACGAAAACATGTTGGCTGAAATTGCCTCCATGGACCACCCGGAGAGGGAATATGTTTCACAGTGGAATTCACCAGCACAGGTTGATACCGTGATGACAGGAGCATTAGGGGCTGTAGTCGGGGATCATGGTGACGGGATCTTTGATATTATCTGATGAATTGAGCCCTTGCTTTCCTATACTTGCGCGGGAGATGGTGATTGCCGTTCAACGGTACAAAGAGGCATCAAAATTATTGTTTTGTCGGGAGGAGAGTGGAGGCGGTGAATTTGGCGGTCAATCCTCGACGACGATGCCTTGGAGATTAGAATGCCAAATAATGCCGGTGATGATGACTTCGATACTCCATCCTTAGTGCCTCTAGAGTTGCAATCTCATATCTATTACGCGTTGAGAGCCATCGTCTTTAGAAGTTGTGGGTTCAAAAAAGTACTTGTCAAAATCATCCCTCCTGATTACTTCCGTTACTTTACTACTGTCACTAGCTCTCCGCCCATTGTCCAGTACACTGTTCTCCGCATCGCCCTATCAAGGATCACTGAGATTAGCTTTGAGAATTCTACATTGTGCTTCTTTCCTGCATATCAGAACCCCACTTGAAGATTCTCGCTATATTATTGTTCCCAAATTAAATCTGACCCAAAAGACCTACCGTGCCGTCGACGCAGGCGTTGCACGTGCACCACGACGACGCCATGGACTCAACACTCCCAGATGCTTTCGATGCATCTCAACCTGGTTTATACGCGGGACAGGCTTCTAGTGCAGGGATGGTTGATCCAGAGGGTTCACATGGGAGCATGATAGCATCAGCGCCTTTTGTAAAGGTTGATGGTGAGTTGTCCCCGGCTATACGAGCGGGGAGATTAACTGTCAATGAGGGAAATAGCTAATGTCCATTGGAAGATCCACCGAAATTTGAACTCGAGTCTTACATTGCGAACTACAACGGTCAGTAGGAAAACATGGTATGCGCACAAAGCTCCGACGGCCGCAACTAATTGATACTCGCACAACAGGACGGACCAAATTCAATCGCTTGTACCTCATAGGCACTTGCTCCACGTATCTCTCAACGGAAGCACTCAAGGCTGCGGTTGCTGAAGCGAAGTCGGGAAAGGATGTCGTCAGGTACCAACAGGCTGTCCGTGCACTGGCCGAAGTCTCTCCGAATGAACCTGAAGCGATCGAGGACTCGAAATGGGTGGACCATATGCAGAGAGTTGTGAAGTCTGAGACGGACCGGTTAGAGCACGAGCTGAGGGGCTATAAGAACAATCTAATCAAGGAGAGCATACGGGTGAGTGGAATAATTGCTGGAATCAGCAGCGATGCTTACTGACTTGTTCGCAGATGGGCAACGAAGATCTCGGACTACACTACCATCAGATCGGCAACCTGGTGGCCGCTTCCAAGGCCTACTCCCGCATGAGGGACTACTGCACAACACCCAGCCACATCGCGTCTATGTTGTTGAAGATTATCAATGTGGCAATCGAGCGGGGAGACTGGTTGAGCGTACAATCCAATGTGCAGCGGCTGCGCAACCTCCAGGCGAAACCGGAAGAGCAAGCGAAGAATCAGCCTAAGATGTCAGCCGCCTTGGGTTTGTCCCAGCTCCACTCCGGATCGTACTTGGATGCTGCGAACAGTTTCTTGACCACTGATCCATCGCTTGGGGATTCTTACAACGAAGTCGTCACATCGAACGACGTGGCGGTCTATGGTGGGCTCTGTGCTCTAGCGTCGATGGACCGTAACGAGCTCCAACGCCGCGTACTAGACAACAACTCGTTCCGCAATTTCCTCGAACTCGAACCGCATATTCGCAGGGCGATCTCCTTTTTCTGCAATTCAAAGTTCCGACCTTGTCTGGAGATTCTTGAGTCCTACAAAGCCGACTATTTACTTGACATCCACCTTCAACGTCATGTCAGCACCCTTTTCACCCGCATCCGCACCAAGGCTATACAGCAATACCTCGTTCCTTTCAGCCGCGTGACGCTCGATTCCATGTTGAAGATCTTTGCTCCAGGGGTCGCTGGCGGCCAAGCGCATCCGACCGACTTCAACTCGCCGTTCGTGCAAGAGCTGATCGGCCTGATCCAGGATGGGACGCTGGATGCTCGGATTGACTTGGAGAAGGGTGTGCTTGTGTCTAAGCAGACCGATCTACGGACAGACGTGCAGCGAGCAGCATTGGAGAGCCTTGTCAACTTCAGAAAGGAGGCACATCTCCGGCTGTTGCGGACTAACATCCTTCGTGCAGGGCTAGAGGTGCGGGCACCGGGAGACGAGAGAAAGCTCAGGCCAGAGGATCGAGGCGTTGGGAAGGGATTGGCTGGGCTAGGGGGCAAGTACTCTCGGTGATGACCCTTCTACGAGACATTCATATCAGTTCGAAGTCGGAGAAAGACGACCGTATTTTATGGTTTATGAATTGAACATCCTTCTCTGCAATGTTCTGCGCATATGACCTAAACCATCTGATTAGGCGTCTGAGAATAATTAATTTACCATAGCCTAAGGGCCAAACTAGAGAGCTCTGTATTCGAATACATAAAGAGGTATCCGCTTGTCGATATCAGGTGTGAGGGAAGCTGATGAAGTTATAACGTCATAGCCCCGTGCATCAGACAAGACCTCACACCACCAGGTGCGATGCCAATATAAATGAACTCAATCTTACAGTAACCAAAGAATCTGACCATTTCTCAGCTCCAAACAATTGTCATCCATTTGTTGTGATCATGGCGCTCGTCGATCAAGCCGGTACATTCCTATATCAATACGTCTACTCATGGCTGCACACCACCCCCAGTAAAAGCCCCGACGCATTGAGACTCGGAGTCATCTCAACCGCCCAAATCAACCCTGCAGCCAGTAATTTACCTTTTTTTTTTTTTTTTTGTTATGATGCCACGCCGAAATACTAACGAACTCTGTAGTCATCCACCCCGCCGAATCCCACCCATCAGTCATCCTCCACGGCATCGCCTCGCGCGATCTCTCGACAGCCCAAAAGCACCAGAAAAAGTACCATTTCGCCAAAGCCTACGGCTCGTATCAGGATCTCCTGGACGATCCGGACGTCGACATCGTGTACATATCCACGCCGAACGGGCTGCACTACGAGTGGGCGGCGAAGGCGCTCAAGGCCGGGAAGCATGTGCTCTGCGAGAAACCCTTTACGTCGAATGCGGACGAGGCGAAGAAGTTGGTTGAGCTGGGGAGGGAGAAGGGGCTGATTGTTGAGGAGGCTGTAAGTTTTCGTCTTTTTGCTTTTTCCCCACTGTCTTTGGATTTGGGGCAGGGCAGGGTTTGACAGGATGTAGTTCCATTGGCAGTTCCATCCGGCTGCGCATGCATGGCGCCAGATCCTGGATTCGAGGCAGTACGGGAAGATAATTTGCACAAAGGCCGCTATGACGGCTAGTCCTGGTGTTCCCGGGGGCGATATCCGGTGGAAGTTCGACCTGGCGGGTGAGTTTAGTTTTGATATCCCCTGTTTGTGCAGGGCAAGTGGTTGACGAGGTATAGGCGGCTCGGCAATGGATATGACCTATGCGCTGTCGTTTACGCGCTTTGCGCTGCATGCGCGGCTCCCGCAGGAGATCCTCTCCGTCAGCGTGCGGCCGTCCAAGGATGACCCGCGCGTTGACGAGGCCATGTACGCGCACATCGACTTCCAAGGCCCGGATGGCAATCCCGTGCACAGCCGTGTCTACACGGACATGGCGCGCGAGAAAGTCGCGGGCGTGATTCCGCGGGTCTGGGAGTTGCCGTCCATCGAGGTCGAGACGGAGAAGGCGATTATCTACTTCTATAACGCCATGATGCCGCATCTGTACCACTACATCTCCATCACGGACAAGACGACGGGCAAGGTGAGCTACAAGAAGCAGTACTCTGGTGGTCCCTTGTGGGGCAACGTGGTGACGAGCACGGGGGAGAAGGGCGGGAACCCGCACTGGAGTACGTATCGGTGGCAGCTGGAGGCGTTTGTGGATGCGGTTAAGGGGAAGACGCCGGCGTATTGGGTGAGCGGGGAGGAGAGTATTTGGCAGATGGAGTCGATTGATGCCCTGTACAAGGCGGCCAATTTGCCAGTGCGGCCGTCCCTTGGAACCAAGCTGGGATGAGCGGGTTTTCTAGCAGCATTATTTAATTTTTGTGTATAACGAGGTGATAATTTGTACAGCAGATCCCGTTGCCAAGCGAGTAACGTTACAGAACTCATCAAGCCATTAAGCCAGGGCCAGAGCCATTGCCATAGCGGCGCCCCCAATAGCCCAGTTGGCATTCCCAGTAATCTGAGGCACGGCAGCGTTTCCGCTAGAGCTGTGGGACGCCGACGCCGACGCCGAAGTCGAAGCCGAAGCCGAAGAGCCAGTGGCCTGGGCGCCGCTCGTCGCAGACGGGCCCGAAGTGGCCAGGGTAGTCTTTCCAGTCACCGAAGCCGTGCTCCCTGTGACCGATGCTCCAGTGGTGGCATGGGCACCGGCGGTGGCAGTGCCGGTCACCACAACGGGCAGAAAGAAAGAGCCCATGTCTGTGGTGATGGCGGTCGCAGACACACGGGTTGTGGTGCTGTCCGTCATCGATACGACGCAGGAGATGGAGGTGGTGCCGCCGAGATTGCACCCGTATGCGGCGTAGCTGTTGAGGATGTCAGTGGGGTGTCCCATTTGCTTTTCACCACAAGGGCGACATACTAGTCGTCATAAGAATACGTCTGCTGCACCGTCGAGGCGCCCTGGACAATTGTGAAACCGCTTGGGGGCATACCGCAGGTCTCCGCGGCAGAGGCGCAGTTGACGACGTAGGTGGTTGCAGAGCCGCTCTGGGTTCTCACGTCAGATAGATGATCTTGCAGAATATTTGAGCAGTGATGATTTCCGACAAACGTACACTGCCGACGACTTCTGCCACGAGACTCTGGGAATCAGCGTAGGGCATGAACAGCGACACGGTGCTCTCAGCAGCGACTGTCGCCGCGGTGGCTGTCAGAAGCGTGAGTGAGCGGATGGTGTTCGAACGCATCTTGTGAAATTTCAATGAAAGTGATTATATGGAATAAAGTCTGGATTTGGATAGATGGAGGGCGTCGGAAAGAGATCGACGAAAAAGGCAATGTCAGAAATATAATGGTTCAGGTATCTTTGGTCGTACAGGCGTAAACGAGTGACTGGCTGCCGCAAGGACAATTCAATGAATGTTCGAGGGATGAGAAAAAAAAGATGACGAAGGAAAGGGACTCAAGAATGATCGCCTCTGGGGCATCACGCCCCTGATAAATGACACTCATCTCACGAGTCAGCCATTAGTGGCTGGCAGGCTGCTAAGGCTGAAAGCCTAGTCGTTTCGTTGGCTCGCTACCTGAATCATGTATCCGACTCAAATGAAACAGTTTCCCGTGCTGACCAAGTTTTTAGCCAAAGTCTATTCCAGGCCCAGACTTTCAGAGGCTGAGTCGAGTTTAGCTGCACAGGGCCAGAGTGGTGGTTATTTCAGGACACTGGCAGGCGGGAAATACCGATGCGGCAGCTAGACCTTTTCAGGGCTAGCTGAAGAATTGAAAATGTTCGCTTTCTCGGAATACATGTAACGTACCTCTATGGAAAGATCCCTCTGGGTGACTACAGGTCAGCCGACCAAAAACTATTACAGAACATGAAATTATTATTAAGATGTGGGATATTTATCTATTTATTTAGTGTAGGTCGGCTGACCTACTATTAGTTTTTCCGACCTACTTTTAGTTTATCCGAACTTTTCCGAAGGGTCGGCTGACCTGTAACCTGTCCCTCTGGTATCTGGGCAATAATGAGAGCGTAGCTCTTGGTCGCTGTCTTTATGTTATGCAAAGTCCATTGCGTCAGATAATAAGCAGGCAATGATTGAGAAATACGGTCCTCGAATCGTAACGATTCTTCCTCTTGCAACTCTCCCTTGAGAAACCCCAAAGCTGTTCGAGATGTAAATTCAGGGCTTATTGCGTACGGGAATCTCCATATGAATTACTGTCATCTCCTTTATCAGCACATACAACCATAGGGTGTGGAAAACAAGGCTTCCTGTCCGCTCAGCCGCACTTACACCAGTATTATCAATGCAGCCAGAAGTTATATGCGCCCCTTGAAGGCCTGCTGCTTTATAGGTGAGAGACACTAAACCACAGGGTGAGTGTGAGTAAGTGTGGGTGAGTGAAGATAAGCTAAGCAATACTATCTAACAGCATGGGTGAGCATGGGTGATCAGTAGGTAACAGAGTAATTCTACAGTGACTGGACTCCCTAAGCCCATTATTAGTACCTCCGTCACCAGCTTAAATATGAGGGCCCCCTCTCTGCTCAATCATTATCTCCTTTCATGTGTACAAGTGGCTTTTTTGTGATTTATTTTCTCTCAGCTTTTCGTATCCCTCCATAACATGTCACGTGATGCATTTTGATAGCTGAAGGAATGGTTAAGGGGGACGTCGAGGAGAGGTCATGAGAGCAGTCATGGGGTGGAGTGATTGATGGAAAATTGGCCTTTGAGAGCGATGCGATTAACATGCTAACAGACCAACTTTCCAGCGACCCTCAAGCTCAAACATATACGGTCTTCGACAGCAACCTTATTAACGTGTTGACAGGCCACTTGCCAACGAGTCCTTAAGCCCGAACGCATGCAGCGTACGTGTGGCCTGTAACAGCAATGTTATTAACATGCTGACAGGTTGGCTTTCCAATGGCCCTCAAGCGCGAATGCGACATATGGCCTTCGACAGCAGTACCGTTGGATACACTGACAGGCTTTCCATTCTTCCGCATTGGCGAATCGCCTCTAAGCTGCGTCAGTATCACAATCTGGTACCCTTGATTGACTTAGCATCATCCGCTGCCCTCTCATCTGTCAGATCTTCGGTGCTCAAGAATGGCTTGCCTCCGCGCTCATTTTCATGGCCACCAAGGTCTCGATACTGTTGTCGACGCCGAGGACTCTCCGAAAATATGACCAGCAATCTTCACCTCCATCTATAACTTTTGTCCTTCCAATAACCGACCTGGAATGTCACGTCCAGAGACTCTTGTGCTGGCTGATATTGCCTTCCTTTAGGAGCGGCATCGTTGGCTCTCAATGTGGCCCCTCACCACAAGCTCAACAGGTGAGAGTGGCGTGGCATGAGGACAAGGAGAAAGCAAAGATGTTTGAGATAAGGAGGGTAGCCGAAGTAGTAGTAGTAGTAGTATTCATACCCATACAGCGGCCCTCTCTAGAGGCTGCTATGCCGGGGGAGTCGTCTCCGTAAGCCGACGTCCTACTATGCCTAAGTGCACCAAAACGCCTTGGGAGAGCAACCAAAATCTTCAAAAACCAGACCGTGCGAACAAAGGAAATGATATATATAGAGGAAAGAGGGGACGTCGCGTGTTAGAGACGTGTGGTTGGTGCTTGGCGGCCCTGGGGAGTCCACTACGTTGATCTGGTGTAGGAAGTGGTTGAGCGTAATCCTGCCTGACCTTAACTGTATAAGGGCAGAGATGTGGCTCTTGTGCATACCGCCCCACAGGCGGAGGCTTCCCTTCCCCAGCAGTTAGATCAGGCGGTGGGTGGGCTGGCTGGTGGCGCGGTGGTCCCATGTCCACCTCCTCTCCCATGCCGCCTGGGCCTTTTGTCTTGCTGTTCGTTGGAGTGTCAAGGCCAGGATCTGCTCTGGCTCAGGGCCTGGCCTGGTGGCCTCCTTGGCTGCTGTATCTGCTGCTTCGTTGCTTGGGACCCCTGCGTGCCCTGGGATCTAGTGGATTGTGAGTGATCCACCGTTGTTCTGGAGTGCCTTAATAAGTTGAATGATGTCTTTGATGATGTACTGGGCTGTGGAATGGCCTGGGTTGTGTACCACACTCAAATTACAGCTTGGTTGTCTATTATAATGATGCAGTCCCCCATCCCTAGTTCGTAGACGTCGACAAAGACCTCTAGGGCCATCGCGATGCCTTGTAGCTCGGCGGCGTAGACCACTGTTTTGTCCTCGGGACCGAGGTACCTCTTTCGTAGTGTGCCCCATTTTGGGATGACTGCTGCCGCGCCCACGTGCCCTTCGAAGCCGCTGCCGTCCGTGTATGCGATGTGTGTGTCCCAGGTAGCCGCCAGTCAGTTGTGGGTTTCGATGGCTTCCTCCCGGGTTTCCGCGATGATGGTTGTCGGGGGGTCCCACCATGGGGCCGTCGCGTAAGGCTCCCGGGTCTCCCATGTGTCTTGTCTTTGTAGTTCTGTGTTTGCCCTCCAGCGCTGGTGTGTCTCGAGGGGTGTTCGTCCACCTCGCAGGCGCTCTTCTGGGGTTCGAAAGCGTGGGTTGTAGCCAGTGTGAGGGCATGTGAGGAGACGAATGGCTACTGCATCAAGGTGTAGCATGAGGAGCTGCTGGATCAGGAGCAGGAAGAGTTCAGCCTCCAGGGCGGCCAGTGCGGTGGATTTGAAGGCGCCGCTGATCGTGATCGCAGCTTGTTTTTGTACCTTTGTGAGGGATTGGGTCAGGAGGGTAGCCGAAGCAGACTCACATTATCTGAACAGCAGGTGTTAGGCCAGCTATTTTCGGGTGTATGAATACTACTACTACTATTAGTAACTCTGACTTAAGTGAGACTTACCTCCTGACCAATCCATGACTAACAGGTAGTTTGTCTATTCAACTCTCACTTACGTGAGACTTACCTCCTAACCAATCTATGACTAGTTTGCCTATTCAACTCTCACTGAGGTGAGAGTTTCTGAACCCAGACCTGATCTCACGGAAAATGTTACCAGTGGTTGTTTGATATCGGAAATATTATCAATAATTTGTCGTCCGGGACTGAAAACTTCAGAAGTATTTGTCTTCAAAGAATGGCCTGGGGCTTTCCTTTGAAGGGGGCCATGTAGGTTCCCATCCGAGTTTACGTTCGCATTTAAAGAGATGAGACATATACTGGAGCAAAACAAAGCAATTGCATTCAGTTCATACATGAAAAGACTACCCTTCCAACTGGGACAACTGTTTAACACCGCGTGGCTGTGCCTTTGCGTCAAGCCGCCATTGTTGAGTAATCCATTTCTTAAGTGGGTGCATGAAAGGTGTGACTATGTAGAACTTGTTCACATTTGCAACTGCCAAATTCTCATCATTTGGCTTGCTCTTCTTCGTTAACGTTGGCAACTCCAACAGCTTATACCATTCAATCTTGCTGATTTCTTTCTGAGTACGAGGTTCGAAGTGAGCATCCTGTGGTACGCCACAGAACACATATAACCTGCTGTTCTCTCATGGTGATCTCGACATACTTGACGTCCTTTCATCCTTCACTAGCCCGGCCTCCTCCAATCGGACCTTGTTTATGCTGGTTGCTTTCCCATTTTTCTGATCACCTCAGATGCAAAATTCCGCAGCTTAACAAGATCCAGCTCAAATAGAGTACCTATTGCTTGCCCCGGGAGCAGGGCTGGTCCGAATAAGTCGCCTCTCGTGAATTGAATCAGCTCGTTCTGGGGCAAAGGTACCGGTGCGGGGAAGATAGGCTAATGAATGTCAGCTTCAGGTCAAGAATCGCGTCGTGGACGTAAATAGATGATTACCATCGTAGAGGAGACAAGGTTGCCGGTGCTACCCCTGCGCCAAACTTCGGCACTGCCCTTTATTCTGTTGTACGACAAGGCAGACCATTTGAGTAGGATCACTAGCACAACAGATGGATTTCCTTTGAGCCACAGGGTTTTATCGCTCCGTAGATGGATGAACGATTCGCTCCAACCTGATTCTACGACAATGCGAGGGTCATCGTCAGTGTCGACACGCAGGTAATGATCAGGTTGCTTGATTGACCCTTGGTAAACACCAGTGAAATTATCGAATGCTAAGTTATTGCATATTGTTAGTGCAATAACATAAATGAAAGTAGAAAATACGTACTGGTTCCAGAGCCGCTCCATAGAAGGTCTGCTTCATCACTGTTGATGATTCCAGTCATACCCCATTGCACAAGTGCGCGGTTTATCCACCGCTGGTGGACGTCATGGAGGCTGATGGGCATTATTTTGAGCCGTAATAGGCCGGTGTACGCGTTGTAGTTTATCCTATTACCGCATCATGCTAAGTATTAGAAGATCATGTTTGGTATGAGTTTGCAAAGCGCGTGTCATACCTTAAATTCTTTCTCTCAAGTTCAGCGTCTGCACTTAGCGACCGGCAAATCAGTCCCGCATCATCTGAGCTGAGCGGATATACAATCTCCGTGTACTCTGAGATTCCTGCGAGGCTTCGTCTAATTTCATTAAAGATTCGCTGCGTTGAGGGTTTTGTGCTCGGGGGGCCCTGTACGGTGGTCTGAAAGGGCGGGGTCTCCATGATGAACTTGGGAGCTTGAAGCAATGATTTCAATGCAATGGAGTGGAGGAAAGTACTAAACAGAAGTTGGGGAAGGGGCTGAGATGGATGTTGGTCAACAGGAACAAAGAAGGTTAACAGTGTCATAAGGAAGAAACCCGGATCTCGTGACCAGCCCGAGTATAGATACCTCTTCTGCCTTACTGCCCTTAAGATATCAGGTAGTTATGTCACTCTGGTATCAACAGATTCCTGAGAGCCTCAAGAGATCTTGTTGACTCTAGGACGGAGTAGTCCCGCAGTCCTTTCTTGCTCACATTAGACCATACTACTACTCTCACGTAAGTTAAAGAAGCTTTTCGCGTCCCTCTTGCTAGTTTGTAGTCAAAATAATTCTAGTTCCTCCTACTGTAGCTGGCATACAGTTGAACTAAGCCACCAGGTCCTCCAGCTCCATTTCCAGGTTTTGGGCCATCGCCCGCTTCAGTATCTTCTGGCGATTGCCAGTCTCGGGCTTATTGATGTATGTTTCTGGGTCACTGTCCAAAAAACCCATGACTGGGACAGCAGCTCCTTCCCCCGTTGGATCACCTGCAGGCATTATCTGCAGGTGATCCAACGGCTCATCAGTCCGGTCGATGTTAACATCGAACCCATGACTGTTGAGAGTCATGGCATATTCAGTTAGCTCTGCCATCGCAACTTGCCACTCATGCTATATTGTAGTCAGCGGATTTGTTCCTTAAAAATTTGTATGCACGAAGCCATGGACTACCTTATCCAAAATATACTCTTCGCGCTCAGCCTTCTTTGCTTTACCACCGCCATAACCGTGTGCAAGAGTATTGAGCATTCTTTGCTTTAATTCTCTGTATGCGAACATTGCAGAGAAGATCTCCGACTCTTTCGAATATTTTGCGCGGATTGTAGGTGTATTGAAGACACGGACTGCTTTCCACTTCGGGTTTTCGTTTGATTGTGCTTTGAGATTGAGCGGGCCCCATGAATTAAAGGGACGCAGAGCCGTATTCTATTATAGAATTCTTTATCAGTTCAGAAACTAAAAGGCCAATAGGGACCCCACGTACCAGGCTCTCAAGATCATTCAGGCGAGAAAAAGGACCTTTCAGGACAGGGCCCGCAGCCTCTATGACCATTCTGACAATCCCTGCCCAGTTCTTCTGCTCAAATCTATGCATGTAATCTACCATCACATCAATAGAGACATCGCCTGTAGACACCATCTTCTTATCAGTTGGGGGAGGTAACTGTGGAAGTGCTGTCAGCCATATCTGTATATTATCATCTAAGGATGATAGATACCTGTCTCTGAACAATGTGATCTCGCCAAAGGGGCTCTGTTGTAATGTACTGCCACACTTTGATCATGAACTCCTGAATGTAGTCTTTGAGGGAGGTAACTACAATTCTGTTGTCCTCAGGACCAGTGACCTCAGAGGCTAAACACCATGGCCGCTTGCCATTAGGAAGGTCATCTCTGAATACATATCTTTCTAACTCAGTTTTCCAGTCCCACGTCTTCAGTAGAGAAGAAGATGATTTTGGATAGGAAAATGATTGATCTGTCCAGTAGATTATATGTTGCAGAACCTTCTTCATAGGCTGTGCAACCCACCGATTCATCTGGATAAAATCTCTCCTGCATTCTTTTATTAGCTGCAGGCCTGCGGCCTATATTCTCTCAAGTGAGACACATACCAAGATGGGCAGATCATCCCAGCGTTGGCTTTGGCATTCATGTAAACGTCGACATATTTCTCCGGTGATAGATGAACTAAAAATCCAGGTCGTCTCCAGTGAACTGTCCCATCACCTATAGGGTATTCCTTGTCAAGGGCAGGAAGAGCCCACTCAGTAAACCACTTTTCATTAAGCTGCAGGACACCTTTCAAAACACCGTCTTCGTGATCCTGCTTCGAGGGGAAAAAGAGACGCCTGAGAAGATCTGGCTTACTTCCTTTGCCAGTAACCTGCATCAATATCTCCCAATCAACTGAGGTTATGCGTGCATCGCCGAACATAAGGTTTCCCCAGTTAATGACGCGGTCAATTTCTTGTTGCCAAAACTATAAAATTGTTATATTAGCCTGGTATCATTAAGTAATATTAGAAGGAATATTGATCAATTCATACAAACTCAAGTTTTGTATTGCAGATATCTCCAGCTGTGGTGAAGTTAAAGAACTTCTGCCCATATGCAGTCTGGACATACGTCGCCCACAGCCCAGACCAAAATGAGGTTCTCAAAATTGAAAGAATCCTGTCCGTCTGGGTCCCCTTGATGCCAAAATTGCTCTGGGCCCAGGGCTCAAAATTTGATCCCTTCAATTTTTCTTTCCGTTCCTGGTCCGCCATTGTGTTAAGGTCGTGCAGCATTCGCAGAAGGTTGTACCCATCTGTATCAACTTTGTACGGGTCGTCTCTATTTCCCTGTAGGCTCGTAAGGATGTTGCCTTTGGCTTTGTTCGCATCATAGACGTCGATAGCCCAAAAATATGCCTAGCCGATAATGTTAGCCATCTCACTCGAATTACATTTGAGGTCTCATGGCCGCTACTACCTCAGGCTCTGGAGATTCCAAGGGCTGTCCATCTGCGCGCTTCGCTCCAGAGCTAGCCAGCTTGCTCTGTTCATCGGCAAGTGATACTAGGGCAGCTCTTCTGTGCTGACCAGCAATCAGTGAAGGGGTCGGTAAGTCCGCCGGCCACTCTTTCAGATGAACAAAGTCTGTCAGAGTTCCTCCGTCTGTATTGGTCGCCCGAACACGGGCCTCATGAACAGTTCCCTCTCCCTGACCGTCAACGTAGTGTTGGAGATAAGCCTCGTAATCAAAGGACGACATCGTCGCCTTCATTCTTGTTTCTTTGAAGTAACGACGACAGCCTCTCCGAAACCCTTCGATAAGGGCTGCGACATGATCGCGGTCAATTTCTCGGTTTTCATAGGCATTGGTGTCAAGGATGCGAACGTCGGTGGCGATAGTCCCAAGGTAGGCCTTGTGAACTTCGATCTGGTTTTGGTCCTCTTGGATCTCTGCGAAGACGGCTGACTGATCTGCATCAAGAGACCGACGTTTTCCCATGATTGGCTTTCCTCTAATGATGAAATGAAATATGGAAAACTTGGTGACACAATGATGGAGAATGAAGAAGTAGTAAAACGGAAAAATCTGAATTGAGTGAGCAGGGAAAGGGGATGGATGGTGAAGAGGAAGGTGAAGGAAACGAAGTATTAATGCCTAAGTAAGGAAAAAAGGGGGAAATGAAATCAAACTGAAGTGAGAGAAAGGAAGTGAATACTGTTGACGCTGGATATTCCATAATATTCACGTAACATTGCTGGTAAAACTTGATTTAATCTAGCTCATTAAATATTAAGCCTGGTGAAATTGCAGCTTGCGAAATTACATCTGAGAGATAGCTCCACCATTTATCCTACTACCCATGCATAAATCCTTCCCATCTGACCTTAAAATTAGTATCATTAAGTAGCCCTCATTTTGCTGGTTTTAATAATACCAATATTGCTCTGGATGTATTACGTTGGCGACATTAAAACCAAGAGAAACATCTATGAGTTGCTGTTGTTGTAGTATATTCTTAGAGATTTGATCTATAAGTGGGTCCCGGATGCTTACCTACTAGGTAAGCATCCATCGGGCTGTCAGCCTGTCAGGGACGACCAGGCTAACAAGCTTTCCGTCAGGCGACCTTAAGTGGGTCTTTGCGCACGGTTCCCATCTGAGTTAAACCTCTGGATGATAAGCTTTAGCATTTAATGTTTGTTGTTGCTACCTGAAGTTACTAGTACATGCTATATACTCAGTGCGCAACTCAGTATGTAGAAAAAAAGGAAGAAAGTAGGTTCAATTGTCTTTGAAGATGATCTCTTTTAACAATGTCATACTATACTACTGTAGGATCAGGATTCTCTGTAACGCATACTTCTAACCCGTCCAATTCTTGTATGCTGTGACTCTAACTTAAGAGGAAGCAAGGAGCAGGCATTGAGTGGCTAAGCATTCACTTCCAGTATGCTCTTATACAAAAAACACATTTTATTGGATCAACCGCGGTGTCGACGTCAGCTGGGTTGAGATGATACCTACAGTAGGTAGACGCTGAGGTGTGGGCGACTTGGCATTCGCCTTGGCAAACAATAAGGAAAATGATGATTGCTGCGGAGTCTAGCACTTTCAAGGTCTATTTACAAGCTCCTCAAAGAATAACTGGGCTGATGAGGGTGGGCGAATTTTCTCGGCTCCGTCATTTGACTGATATGGAGGAAATCAGAGCACGTATCCACACCGCTGAAGGTAACTGGCTCAGAGCATAGCTGAGTCGATTTCCAAGCTTCTCGAGAGATGAGAAGGCCGAGGAGGGTGGCGAATCTTTCTGACTGTATCACGAGTTGGTATCCACATAATCGACCGTTACGGGTCAAGTTTTCCTCGAGGTTGACACCCCTCGCCGTGGCCCAACATGGAAAACATACCTATCCAGACTTGGCTGGCTAAGCCCGCATGTCGAAAGAGACTCTTCTTATTGCTCGTAGACATATGTATTGCGTCTCCTCCTGTCAATTCGAGTGATAGGCTGGCCCTGATCTCTTCGAATAACGCTGTACGAGGACTAGCTTACCTTAGGATACCTGACAAATGATCAATGTTCCTCGGTTGAGTTATCTGAAGGCTTTGGTCGTTTTACCACAGACCGGTAGTAGAGCCATCCCTAGATGGAGACGATTACTTTGTGAATTGACTAAGATCTTCTGCCCAGAGAAAGAAGCATATTGTAGTCTTTGCCTTCACAAGCCGCCGATGATGTATTACACAATGATATCTACTGGCTGATAGACGTGTTTAATACGCAATTGCCATTCCCGATACTACAACAGTCACCTCTCCCGGCTGATGGTATCGCAGTTCCGTCGTGTATTTCCTTCTCTACTAAAGATTCTTCCTTCTTTTCAACAATGGCCTGCACAACACCAGACGTCACGTCGCGCTCAATCGCCCTGAATATCGCACTCTTTTTGCCGCTCTATACTTATTCGTTTGCGTATCAGACGTATGTTGATATCCATACGTGACGTTGAGCAGATTTGCAACATAGGTCGAAGCTCCGGAAGGATAGCCGCATTGCTCCTACTGGAGCAGGCGGCTGGGACCTTGTGTTGCCTGCTGCATGCTCTTGGTGGTGACTCGGCCACTCGGGGTATGGAATGAGCGCTAGTATATCGGATTGTATCGAGTCATTCTGAGAGGTGCTGCTGGAAATTTGTCATGCTGGAAAGACCCTACGGCCTTGTGTGTCTCCTGAACAGTAGAAGCTTCTTCAGCCTATTGTCCCAAGATCGTCAGCTAAAATCGCAGTAGTCTTCTATTATGATCTTGTTACTCACGGCAGGTTTGCAACAACATCGCCGGACGCAGCAACGGTGGCAGAGGCAGCAACAGTAGCAGGGGCAGTGACCATGGGAGCTTAACTGTGGTCCTATTGATGCTTGTCAGTGTCTTGTTCAGCTAGAATCTGCACCAGAAAGCCTGGGTAACTAACATGACCTCTGCCTCTACCGCCAAGGTGAGTACCACAGCGCTGGTGATGCTGACTGTCCTGGAGTCTCGGAATTAGACATTTAGTCGTCACCATCCATTAGTGATTCTTTCCATATAGTCGTCGATATCGCAGCTGAAACCGTGCTCTGTATAGTAAAAGGCAATTATGCTGTGGGCGAGGGCTATAGTAGCTTTCGAAGCAGGATGGATATCGGGATGACGAGGACGTAGGTTGTAGTTGTAACCTTGACATTGATTTTGTGTGTTATTTGGGAAGACGTACTCCGACAACGACATAGGGAAAAACGCAAGAAAACGTATCAGCTACATAATGGCGGCTTACGTATATGATTTCCTTGACCATTTGCTTATGACGCTATATGGGACTGTGTATATATACAGAAAGATCTAAGCCGCTACCAATCAATCCCTTCAGACTAAAATACATCGACTCATGCGATAGAGTATGGGATCTTCAAGGGTAGAAGAGGTGGCTATTTGATATGAGGAGAGCACATATGTATAACCTGTCCATTCCTCGATTGTTCGAGATATCCATCATTGCAGGTCTTGAGTATGCCGAGTTGATGCGGTATGTAATAGAAACATTTGCATGAAACTCGTTCTGCGTGACTGTACCAAACTTGGAGGAAGTTGTGTGTGCCCCCGTCATAGACGACGAAAGTAGCAACTGCTTCACGCAGACAAAGTTATCTTAGGCTTGGAGTTCCCGCGTAGAGAAAATGACTCGATGTTCTTTGGTGGCTTGTACATATTTAGGTGCCGATTGTACGAGCTAAGCCTCAGCACGGTGTGCAGACATTTTCGAATAGCTCATTGCGCCAGTGGCGATCCCTGCAAGAAGCAGTACAGCATTGAAGCCGGCCATTATATAGAACGGACTTGCTGGAGACAGATCATCGAACAGTAGACCTCCAAGCTTGGTTAGAAGCAATATTCCTGCCCCTCCATAGAGGGAATAAACACCAGCAATTGATCCCTTCAGGTGGGACAACTGGTGACCTCTGTGACGCGTAGATCTCTGTAGCAAGGGCTGATGCTCGTCGACGTCTTGGTTTCCCTGGGTAGTCGCAGTACTAACGGGACCCTCTTCTGTATGAAATGTCTCTGAGTTGTCAGAATCAAGATTGATACTGAGGATACCATTGCTCAACACCGCCAGGCTGCAGACAATGGCCCCGATTTGGCTGATACCGATCAAGCCCATTAGAACAAAGACAACCGCACTGCCGTCCGATCCGCTATATTGAGGACTAGGCAACAGCGCAAACACAGTATAGCCAAGAATACCAGCCAAAGATGCGAACAAAATCGGTGCATGGTACCGTCGCGATCGTTCTGACAGATACCCAAACGCCGGTGCGGCGATCAGAGCAAATAGCTGAGAGACGCCGGTCAAGATGGAAGCCAAGATGTAGGCTTTGCGGCATGTTTGTTTGATATCTTTCGGCATCGATTTTGACACCTCGCCCTGCTCATGACCACACAGGCCAGATCGCCGATAGTAGTGGTTGACAAAAAGAGGAATAAACAATGAAATGCCAACAGATGAGGCACGTGCTACGAAACCTCCCAGATAGCCGAGGAATATATCCCGGTTTCGTAGCCCTAAGCAAAGTGCTGTACCAAGTTGATCGAAGTACGGTAATTGTATCACTTCTTTGCTCAAGTCTGGCCGGTCGGTCTCGGACACAGATGACTTGGGGGCGGCCCACAATAAGTGCCATCCCCTTCCTTCTTCGCTTGCAAGATCCCTGAGACCTATCAGGCAGCAGAAGCTGACCAGAAGCGCCACCGAAGCAACCAAGTAGTAACTGTACTGGATGGCTTCCGAGGGAGAGTAGCCCCAGCTCTGAAAACGAGCGGGTAGAGGAAGAAAAATGGCCAGAGCTATGAGGGCGCCGCCGCCAGCGCACATGCCAACAAATCCGGCCAGCCTAGAGGAAGGAGACTTCGCCTCAGCATGGGATTCTTCCCTGAGACGCAGTTGCTCGCTTGAAGTCCCTCCGGCCACGGCAGGTAAGACCGCTGTCACCATGGTCGACACTGCGGAGCCTCCAAGGCTGAAGAATAACCTTCCTAGCAGCAGCTGGGGGTAGACATTTCTTGCTTGCACGAACACGACCAGCGAAACGGCTATTATGCAGTAGCCGATGACGCAAACCTTAGTTGGGAGCATGTCAGTGATAATAAAACTACATTGATAGATAAGATTGTCGGAACGTACATTGCGGACCCCTATACGATCAGAGAGCACTCCCCATAAAGGGCACGCGGCCAGCGCAAGCAGTTCATCAGCGAATCCTAAGGTGCCAACAGCGTCTCCCTCACCATCGTGCAGTCCAATCAATTCAGTGACGACGAACGAGACAGATGAATTGACGAAGACCAGAAAGGCAATGGAGAATGGACAGACTGCAAGCAGATATGTGAGTGTCTGAGTGCGGGTAGCTGTAAATAGAGCTGGTTGTGACGCCATCACATCAACCAAATCATAGGCTGGCCGATGTGCTTGGTAAGTGTGCGGAGACCTTTCGACTCCTCTTTATATCTGGCTCTGCTCTAGATAATTCCGCATCAGAAGCCAAACGAGAGATGAGAATGATTCGATGGGGATTGAGCTGAGAGGATGATTATGGCTGATGCATAGCCATCACCTGTCCTGACATACAGGTCACATGATCTGAATTTCCATTCCCAAATCGACGACTCTCGAATTGGATATTCGATCTGAAAATCCAGGAACTTAATGCAAATCGGTTTAGACGAGAGGAGAACATACTACGGAAACTTCGAAGTGAATACAACAGTTCTATCAGCTTCTGCCTGTTTGTTTATATTCCGCAGTAGTTCAGTGAAGGGGTCCATTGCAATGGACAACCATACAAAGCAATTAAAATCCACTAAAAGCCGCCAACATCCAAGTCTAATTCGCCGTCCAATTTTCGACAGTCCTCTCAATCACAAAAACAAAGGATATACTCAGGAAAATCGTGTCTTGACTCCTGGGTTATAGCTGATAAGCTGATGATCCGCTGACGTAAGACAAGGATCTCGGGCGGTGGGCCGAATTGTTCCCCACGAGTTGTACCTTAGTCTACAGGTATAGCTGTCCAAAACCTCCGTCCACGCGATCCATCTCCGGCCACATTTCTAATCTCTCACTCGCTAGGGACGCTGTGCACCAACAGACTTTCTAATGCCTTATTGACCTTGACTTCGGCTGCATCCCATTTTGTGTCTATATCAATGACATAGGGCTCCCAACTCGCATCCTTTAGTTTGTGGCCATGAGACTAGCCGCTTATGCTGGGGTAAGCTGCTCGCACGAGGCGGAGGAGGCTTGGACTCGACAAGAGGCTAACCAACATTTTCTATAGGCCTCTACGGCTCTGGCTACGGCCGTTGTTCTGAAGGCGCTTCACCAGAGGGCTAATTTTTACGCTGCTTGCGTATATCTTTCTCAGAGCAGTGCGAATCTCATGGTGGGTCTCCCAGTGGTCGTTCGAGGCTGGGAGAAATAACAAAGAATACTGACTTGCCGCAGATACTTACAAATTTGTGTCTTCTCGTTGTCGGGTTCCTGTTGTTCTGGCTTCAACGTCTCCTGTACGGACCCTTGCGGCCGATTGAAACCGAACAGCTTTACGAAAAGGCATGGTTTGCGGTCACAGAAACATGCCTGGCAATGACGATATTCCGAGGGGAACTTGGCGGATGGTTCTTGGTCATGTTTGTTTGTCTACTGGTTGGAAAGGTCTGGGGCTGGATTGGTGAAGGCCGCGTCGAGTTCCTGGAGCAGCAACCCCCGGCCAATCCGCGCTTGTTTCACACCCGGTTGGCGGTTTCCCTCATACTGGCAGTACTGTTCGATTCATTCATGCTGAAATATTGCATAACGACCGTCCTTGAACAAGCGCGGCCGGATATGATGGTTATGTTCGGGTTTGAGTTTGCGGTCCTTACTATCCTTTCCAGCTCAACCGCCGCCAGGTACACCATCTCACTCGTTGAGCTATACATAACACGGCAGCAGCTAAAGGCCAAGGTTGAAGAGCGCCGCCGGGAAATTCGTGCCGCCAGAGAAGAAGCCCTACGGCAACATGCCCAAACCGGAGAGACGCCTTCAGCTGCCGATCTGCCCGACGAGAATGATATCGACGAGATGGAACTTGATGTTCCTGGATGGGAGGAGAAGGGTCGTTGGATCTTTTACCTCGATTTACTCACCGATTTCTTCAAGTTGACGGTCTACCTGAGTTTCTTCGCCATCCTTTTCATGTTCTACGGCCTGCCTATCCATATCCTCCGCGATGTGGTCGTCACTATCCGTTCTTTCGGCCGACGGATAATGGATTTCGTCCGCTACCGCAATGCGACCCGGGACATGAACGAGCGCTACCCAGACGCCACTCCTGAGGAGGTAGCAAGAGAAGATGTTTGTATCATTTGTCGTGAAGAGATGGCTCATTGGCAGGAGCCTGCGGGCGCGGGTGAGGGCGGGGCAGCGCCTGCTCAGCCAAGGCCTCGAATTCCCGAAAGGTTACGTCCAAAGAAACTCCCGTGCGGTCACATCTTACACTTTTCTTGCCTTCGAAGTTGGTTAGAAAGACAACAAAATTGTCCCACCTGCCGACGCCCCGTCATGGCGCCTCCGCGTGACCGCGATCACCCTCTCGGGGATGTCAATGTTGGTCAAGGCAACGGCGGCGCCGGTCCGCAACCACATATGCCAGCTCGCAATCAGCCCTTCGGTCAGAACGGACCGGCTGATAACCTACCAAGAGCCCGTATATTCCAGTTTGGGCCATTCCGCATTGGTTTTGGGGCTGGTCGGGGTGATCTTTTCCGCAATTTTCACCAACAAGTTCATCAAGGCAATGGCCCGGCGCAACAAGCGAATAATGCAAACCCTCCCGTTGCCAGGCAGATCGGTTTTGGGCTTGGGTTTGGACGACCGGTCCCAGCGCCAGTGCCCCAAGTTCTCCCGACAAATACATCGTCCAACTTTGCGCAGATGCAGAATCAGCTTCACCAAATGGAGCTGCAGATAATGCAGGAAATTAACAACCTCCGTGTTACCGCCGAACAGTTGCATCATGTGCGACTGCTCCAGGCTGAGCTACAAAGACTTCGGAATCCGCCTGCAGCTTCCAACGATCCGAACACTACCATATCCCCAGCATCTAGTTTCCAATCCTCTTCATCTTTGTCGGCAACATTACGTCGGCAATTCACCTCAGATCCTCAAGCCTCGGCCATTCCGTCCGGCGATTCTCGACTCCCAGAGGGCCTTAGTCTCCCAGAAGGCTGGTCTCTCATTCCCCTTCAAACAGAGGGACAGGGTCCAAGCGGTATCTCGAGTCCAATTCCTACAACTGCCCCAGAACCTACCACCGCGGTGCAAGGCCGTGAGGATCCTCCTGCCACTGAGAACTCGGCGCCGCCAAATGGGGAAAGCTCGGGTACAGTCGATGCAGCCAGCTCCACTACTCCCTCGCTGCCTGACTGGGGCTCGGAAAACCCCACGACAGCAACGCATTCGTATACCGGATCATCGTCTCGGGATTTGGGCAAAATTGTCTTCGGGCAATCGTCAGAAAAGAAGGAATCGTCCGCATGGGATAATGAAGCCACGAATGCAGATGAATCACCAGAATCGTCCTCGAAGGGCAAGGCGCGGGTGGTGACAGTTGAGGATGCTGCGGACGAGGAGGCTTAAAACCCTGACTGTCTGCACCACTAACTGTCTTGATATCCCTTCATGGTGCATGTTCCTCTTTAATTTTTGTTTGATGGCGTTCTTGAGCGATTCTGAATCATACCCGGGTTTGTTGTGAGTATATACCATCATATCGCAGCGCTTTCCATGTACTAAGAACATGATACTTCTCTCTCCACTACCTTTTCTGGTGATCTTAATCTCCGTTTCTGAGCCTCCGGCATGAAACGCTGCAGAACTCGTCCTGTCTTTGTACATAGCCTTACCTTCTATATGCCGAAACATTGATCTGACCGTCCCAAGTGTCGCAGTTTTGTATACGGAAGTGTGACACCTCTGGAGATGAAGTTCTATATGCTACGTGAGATCATCTCAAAAGCATTGCAATGCTCGAAATAGACTCGATCATTGATTCAGGCTTATCTATCTTGATTTCAACCCCTGTATAGGCACAACGAAAGCGTACGCAGTATATAGACTAGATATTTGGGAATGGCATCCACCATTCCATTCCATTCCGCAGTCAATGGACTGCAGATCAGGGGCAGATCGTTTTGCTGCTCAAATAAGGCTCTCAAGCTAAATTAACTTCGCCGACAGAGTCCGCCATTCAGGGCCTGGCCCATGTTACCTTTCGGCGAATTTGGGACCGTGGAAAGAACTCGGAGAACGGATACTACGAGTTACCTCCTTCATACAGAGTATCTATGGTCTGTCCTAGCAGTGATACGCTGATACCTAGCTGGCGTGAAAAATAAACTTCTACCCATTGCAACAATGCCTACATTTGTAATTGCACGAGTAGTTGKGGAATTGGGACATCATTTCTCCCTACGGAGTACTCGGCCTCCCCTAAGTCTGCGTCGTCACGACTCATTGCCCGGGCTCCACCTCCGTCCGCCCCGTTGGAGAATAACCTTCTGCATACTGGTCTGAGTGAACACATATCTGGATTAGACTGTCATTTCTATTCAGCTCTGGATTATTCTTTTGCGTTCAAGCCAATATCTTTCAGTCGAATTTCTCACTGGTCGCTGCTTTGAGGCGTTCTGTATGCCAGCTTGTGGCTACTGGCTGCTGGAGTCTTATCTAAGTCTTTGCGCCGCTGAGGTCGCAGGGCGGCTCTGCTTTCGCTTCTCGAGCCGGATATTCTCCTCGTAGCTGGTCCTCAGAGTCTTATGTGTGACCCCAGCATCTGTTCGCTGCCTTGAACCGGCCGGTGAGTTGTGAATTTCCCCTATGGCGCCCCTTATACAGCTTCAGGGGCATCTGCAATGGTTCTCTTGAGATTTTGCGGTCCCCAACCTTAATCGCGAGTACGCTCCGGGAATTGAGGCTAATGGATGTACTTGAGATGATTGTGACAGCCTATTTATTCTTTTCCCTTCACTCTGTATAGTATTCCATATCCTTTTCGATGACTTCCTCACGGCGAGCGGTTCCCCTCCTTGGTCTTGTCTCTTTCGTCATCTTCCTCTACACACTCAGTAGCCTCTCGAGACTATGGCGGCGGACGCCAGAGGCCGTGGGGTTGGGAAAATTGGTCGCTTCACCTAGCCCGACACCATCCGGCCTTTTGAACATAAGTTTGGTGGAGAACCGCCCGTCCAGGACACCATACGCTCCGCGGCCGCAATATGTGCCTGGTATCCCTAAGCCTGCCGGAGCCGAGTATACGAAGATGCTCGTTGTCCCGAAGACGCAGAGCGAAGATACGAATTGGATCGAGACCGAGCTTCCCGATTGGCAGTCGGCAATCTATGTTGTCGATGACCCGTCGGCACCCCTACATCCACCGAAGAACAAGGGACACGAAGTAATGGTTTATCTGAGCTTTATTATTGAGCATTACGACAAACTGCCGGATATTGTGGCGTTTATGCATTCACATCAGTTCGCCTGGCACAACGAGGAGATCTTTGGTGGCGATGCGGCCGAGATGCTGCGTCGCCTGAATGTTGCGCGAGTGGTCCGGGAGGGATACATGAATCTGCGGTGTATATGGGAGCCCGGCTGCCCCGACTGGATGCATCCCAGCAACCCAGAGGATAACGAACAGAAGCAAGAGGAGACGATGCTGGCGCGGTCCTGGGGGGAGATCTTCCCGGACGACCCTATTCCACAGGTCCTGGCGCAGCCCTGCTGTGCTCAGTTTGCCGTCTCTCGGGAGCGAATCCTGGCAATCCCCAGAGCGCGTTTTGTCTTCTACCGAGATTGGATCCTCCGGACAGAACTGAGCGACTACATATCAGGCCGTATTTGGGAGTACCTCTGGCATGTGATATTTACTGGTGAAAACACCGTATGCCCCGAGGTCCATGTTTGCTTCTGTGATGGGTACGGGCTCTGCTTCGGAGGTAAAGAAGAGTACGAGGCGTACCGAAGACTGGGCCATGAGAAAGAGGAATTGGAAGATGAGCTCAAGCGATGGAAGTCCCGAGCCCAGACTATCGAAATCGCTCGAATGCGTGGTACACTAGGAGAAACGAGTCACGTCAACATCCCGGAGCCCGGGGAAGATTCATCTCTTCGGGAGCAGATCTATGAGAAAGAACAGAAGATCAACGAGGTTCTCTACAATGCCGCCGAGCGTGGTATGGACCCCAAAGCTCGGGCCTTGGAAGCAGGTAGAAAATGGACCGAGGGTGACGGATATTAAAAGTCAGGTCTCATCTCTTGTTTTGCAATAGACTCCAGAACCTCCTCGCACTTCTGCAGGCAGAAGAGAGGTTGTGGCAGGGCGTATGCTCGAACATTTTGCACTATTTACATTTAGGCTCGCATATGATTGTCGATCTGGATCGGCTCTGGAGTTATCAGATAAAAAGTGTACTTTGTCTTAGATAGTCAGCTTTCGCAAAATGCTGTTTGCCTTTTGATCTTCTCCTCAATCCTTCACCTCACCACCTCACCCCATCAAGTATGGTCATGTGACCATATCGGATTATCTCGCCTTCCGAAGCAGCTCCTTGTTCTTGTGCAGAGTTTGCATTGTCTGTCCTCTCTTCAAACCGGGCAAACAGCGTCATCTAGCTACTATCTGATTGATACAATCAACGTATCGCGATTCGCGCGAAATACATTCAGTGGGAAGCTTTAGCTCCCTGATCTCTGTCCACTTTTGATCCTGATCACTTTCCAAGCTTCTTTGTCGCCTCGTCAGCAGGCGGCGACACTGGCTGAAGCGAGCTCACGCATCGCAACGGGACGAGGGCTTTACAATTCGCGCGAAACGGTCATAGGTTGCCTAGCCATGGGCCGATCTTTTTKACGGACGATTTTCTTTAGGAACTTATTTTAATTCGCGACCGCTTTGTCTTCCGGGCGTACTCGGAGAAGATACCCTTCCTCTCGGTCCAGGAAGGCTTGCCGTCCAGGCTGCGAAACAGATTATCAATCGCAACATTCCGTTTAAGGACTTCCGCGCTTGACAGTGGTCATATCCCCCGCGCCGACCAGTCGCCGCATTTCAAGACACTTCCACATCAGCTCCTTCCTCATCGAGCAGGACGATTCCTGACCTTGTGACGAACCCCATATTCAAAATCGCCATGACGTCCACGTCGACACCCAACCACCAGCATCCGCCCGCGACTTCGGCCCCGGAGTTCTCTAATCAGACACCTCATACCTCTCACGTCGATTCGCATGCGCATCTAGCGACCAGCGGATATGCCCCAAATGACAATCAGTTAGCTGGTTTGGTGGAAGCCGCGACAGCAGCGGCTGGTCAGGACGTTTCGGAATGGGCCGCAGCAGCGGCGGTAGCAGCAGCGGCCGGAGCTGCCGGTCATCAACATCACTTGGATAGCTATGGTCCAGAAATACATATTGAAGACGACGGCTTCGGAGATGGCAGTTTTGGGGCAGGAATGAGTGCAGGTAGGCAGCTACGCGGATCAGGGTCGGCTTCGGTCAACGATCAGGGCCAATCTTCAGGATTGTCAAGATCGGTCTCCAAGAAACGGAAAAGAGGAGAGGATGCACTTGATCCGGCGTTGACAGCCACCGGTGGAGTAGGCCTTTCTGGCGGTCCGCAGCAATCGCAGCAACAGCAACAACACCATCTTCACCCGCCTTCTCACCATTATGACGGAGACAGCTTAGATATTAGAGCCGTCCCGCCCCAGTCCCTATCTGACGCTCGCGCTGCTGGCGTTCATTCCGCCGCTGCACTTTTCCGCCAGCCTTCCAGTAACAAGAAACACACTCGTCCGCCAATGTCGAAACTCTTCGCCTCTCTGGAATTGTCGCCGGAAAACTTCTTGCATTTACAAGCGGCCGCGAAAGCATATATGCTCGATCCTAAACATCCTGAGAGACGGGAATGCGTTGGCCAGCGGGGCAAAGGTGATACCGAAATGGTTAAGTTAAGACTGTGGAACTGTGTACGCAACTTTTTGGAGGATGAAGGGAACGGAGAACGGTTCTTCGGCGAGAATGTCGTCAATGAAGGCATGGGTCCGAGGTCTTACATCTGGCCGAGCGACCAGCAGAAAATCATTTCTTTGGTGATCCCTCTACTCCGGAGGATGGTTACGAATGAACGCCAGCGCCAATATGCTGTTGAAACTCGGAAAGGAGGCGGTGCTGATGAGCGAAGGAGACGGAAGACGAATGAAAGCTTCCAGACCTTCACTACCAGCGCAAGTCCGCCGAGGTATTCCTCTGACGGGCAGCTTCAGATGCACACTCAGCATCATATGCCGGTAGAGTATTCTTCATCGCAAGTCCCCCTGCCACCACCTCAACCGCAAATGGACTCGACATCACAAAACATGGAGCTTGGCCTGACAGAGCTTCTACTCGACGGTTATACCCACGACTGGAATGCAATTCACAAGTCATATGATATGTATAATCACGACTTTGAACTCGATAATCTATGGTATCTTTCGGGTCTCCCGCAGCCGGACTGGCGAGGCTTGGTTGCCGCAGTCGATAGTCACTACAAGGTCGTTCACGAGGGCAGCTTCGATTGCCCTGCGCCTTGCGAGGATGAGAACATACATCGCATCATAAACGCGGATGTCACATCGGATCTGCGCTGGCGAATCGGCGGCAACCACAACCCAACTGCGAGAAATGAATTGTATGTATACCTGCTCCCTCGTCATCATCTCTCACGACGGGTACGGCGACTGACACCCTTACAGTGCAAGCAGCATTACCCGTGATGTTTCGCGCATTATTCGCGACAACTTGGCCGCTAAGCAAGGTGTTCACACTTCTACCCATGACCATGATCCGATGCCACAATCTCAGCTCTTCCCGCCACCGCAGTTTCCCCCCATGCCAGGAAACGCGAATACCAACGCACATAGTTCCGTGTCTGCCCCTCCGACCTCCGTCTATCTTCGTATAAATATCATGCAGCAAGGAAAGCGTATCCTTCCTCGCCTTGATGTACCCGCTGTGCAGTGTCCCGATCTGGAGACGCTAAAGCAGCTCATGTCTCGTCGATTCGCAGGTCAATTGCCCGGCCTACCCTCCGATTCTGCCATGGATGCAACAGGGGGTTCATGGGGCTCTTCGCTCGGCTGGAAGTTCAAGGCTTGGCTTCCTGATGGGTTGGCCGCAGTACAGAATGACGGCGACTGGACAATGGCCCTTCTTTCAGCTGGCAATGTGGACTGGATGGATGGCGATTTGAAAGTCCTTGTGGAACTGGAGAGCACATAAGAGGATTCACATCGAAGATTTCCCTTCTGTTGCCTTCTGTTTCTTTTAATACGTTCGAGCCGGCTGTGTGATCCTGTCCCATGATCGTTCCAGAGACTGACTTGTGTCTAAGGCATCTAACAAATGGTCTTGATGCCTCAGGGAATTATTTGCATGGCTTTCTGGTAGCTTCATACCCTTACGTTTTCAAGCATGACTCATGACTTTGGCTGATCGTTCCATTGCTGATAATACTGTTTCTTTGCCCATGATACCTTGTTCATGTACAAGTACTTCTTACCCTTCGATATCAGAATGATACCTCATCTTTCTTGATCACCATCACCACTGCCCTAGTTGAGTGTTTTCGCGAAATAAATTTCAACAGTCTCTGCTTCCTAGACTATTTGCCATAATCTTTCCTCAGATCACACCTAGACAGATTAGACCTAAGCTACCTCTGCTTAGACCTAAGCTACCTCTGCGGAGAAAAACATTAAGATGAGTAAACTTCATGGCTAGGTCTTCGGGAAGTATTGGTTGCACCAGGCCGGGGCCTTATAGATTCATCAATTGCCGTGGTCCTTGACCATAGCCAGAGGGTCGCAAGAGATCTCACGACTGTCCATTTTCAGGTGTTCGCGTGTGTATTCTCCAACTACCGCCCTGGTCTATGAGATTCCAATACTCCATCAGCTGATAAGTTTTGCTACTTAGCGTTACTAACAGAAATCGCTTCTATGGTCTAGTGGTTATGACTCCGGATTTTGAGCATTCGCTGAGTCTTCCGGCAACCCCGGTTCGAATCCGGGTAGGAGCTATTCTTTTTCGCTCTTTTGGGGCTCTTTTTGGGTAAGTGTCCATCTTATTGAGGATTGTGTAGAGATTTCGTTTCTCTTTCCTTATGCTTTTTTGGGTTTTCCCACCTACATCTTTTGATAGAAGCTGATGGTGGGTGATCCCGTCGTGCGGATTGCGTGGAGGAAAATATATATATTTTACGAGGTTGGCCGCGCTCTTTTGCAGCTCGTCCGGGTCTGTGAAAGCGGAGAGTACTATATACCATATTCAGCACGAGTCGCTCGAAAATGATATTGTCTACGTCCAGTGGATCGCGATACGAGGTTGCATAGGACTACAGCTTCCATCTGTTCAAGTGAGTATAGACAGTTGTATTCAAGTCAACTTTGATCTTTCTACTACTCGAATGCCATGAAATCATGGTAGGCAATGTGCACGAGGTATAACTAAAACATCGTAGGCCTTTAGACAATGTTCCTGCTTACTGTATGTGCCTACCGGACCCGTACCGCGTACATTACCGAGGCCATGAGTGCCTCCCGGTGCTTCCAATCAAGATGAGCTTGAATCCAGATCAACGGTCATGGGTATTTAGTACCCGACCGCATCCAGCTATGCGCCATGTGGAGTGAGCGCAAGGTCGAAATGGCTGCTATGGGCCGGTAACCGGCAAGGCTGCTGCATCTGGCAGCTCTAGGTCGGTAGATTCGGCTCGTTGCAATGATGCAGAATTGGCTCGAGTCGCCGACATGCCACAGCAGAGTGGTTTCCTCACCCGTAGGAGTACCAAAGCGGGCACCTTCGGGATAGACTGCAGAGTGAAACAGACTATACTCCGCATAGATGAAAATCGGCTTTGACACACAGCGAAAGCAAGCAGCACATCCCCGACCAGTTCGCAGACGCAGTGCGCGAACTCCAGGCTCCAACTCAACTACCCGTGATGGGAATGCCATGAGGCATTACATGGATGCTCAAGGACGTCTTCCGTATCCGTCGGAAGGGCCGAGCCATGTGAAAAGTGGTGTTGCGGCAAGATTCAAGTGATTTGGTCGTCGAGCCATATTCAGCCAGAGGCCACAGTCGCACCCGAACCTGTTGCATTGCCAGCACCATCTCCTGCCTCCAACCGCGCTTTTTTAGCCCTTCGCTTCATCTCACGCTTGGACAGAGGTTTCTCAATTTCCTCAACGGCCGCCTCTGAGCCGAGAGATGCCTTCCTCTTCAGGTTGTCACCAGCTCCTTGAGCCTGTGGGACATTCTTATTCTTAGACATGCTTTTCTGCCCCATTCCGGACTCCACAACTTGTGACTTTGATTTCTGTCCACCGTCAACGATGTCGATGACTCCTCGCCAGCTTGTGCGTTTCAATTTAGCTAGTGCAGTGACCTTTCTTGCTTCCTCACTGATTGCCTCCTTGCCGAGTTCCTGTGACAGACCCCATACACATGTCAAGTTGATGACATCCCATGGAGCCCTCACGCCCAGGGCCCTCCTTGCCTCACTTGACACAACGATTCCCCTTCCGCGTGTTGCGCGGATCAGGGACATAGCATTGCCGATGAGATTCCGACGGGCTTCAAGCCCGCTCCCTGTAACCCCAGGCCCGTAGCAAATTTCCAGTCGAACCCCTCGTTCGATAGCTGCAGAGAGCATTTTAAATTTGAAGTAAAACGGGAGTCTCACGGAGAGATCCAGAGAAATTAGGTCGCATTCGAGATTCGTGCATGCATTCAGAAGGGCTTTTTCATTGGTAGGGCGAAGCGCTACCAGGTCATACACCTGAGCTAAGCTGGCAAGGCGCTGATTCTGTGCGGGGTCGGACAATGTCAAGTTCACACGAGAAAGCAATTTCAAATTTTTGGGAGCATTCGTGGGAGGAGGTGGCGGGGCAAGGTTTGATGGAAGCTTTCCACTGATGGTCTGCGAGAGAGCGACGGTTGTGTAACCGACTGGTAGTCAGGTCAGTTCCTCAGGTGGTCATACTCAGCGTCGCGGAACGCCGCCTAGGTCTTGTGCCCGGGAAGAGTGACATACGTTCTGCAAGAAAGCTCAATGTATCAGATATCTCGGGATCATCTGAGGAGTAAGGAACGTTCAGATCGTAAAACATCTTGAAAGATTAAAAAGCCAAGTCCAAGCCCGCTATCCTCCAACCAATCTTCTTCTCACAAAGTTTGCTTGTTCATAAGCTATCGAAGCTGTCGAAACTTGTCTGCAAAAGGAAATCTAGAAACTATCCCGCATCAACAATTTCTCCGATAGGAGAAGTGCGCTAGTCTTGATCGGGACGGTTCCTCCAAAGTATTGTCACGTGCCAGGGAAGGCGGAGCGAACAGTCCTCTCCATTCTCATCATCACCACAATATACAATCCCAGCCATCTGTAATTTGGACGATAGCACGGCTGCACTGTTTAGACAGGCCTGTATGCTCCTAGTCTTGCAGCAGCTGTTGTCTGTCCTCCATCTCAATCCCTGGTTGCGACAATTTCTCTGTCGGGCTGCTCCTGTACCCCGCCGCCGCATTTTATCTCCCGTCCATTGTGGGCGCACTCGGAAGCTGCGAATCAGCCGCCATCACCATGGCGCGCGTCTATGCCGATGTTAACGAGCATATGCCTCGGTCCTACTGGGACTATGACAGTGTGAACATCTCCTGGGGGGTTTTGGAGAACTATGAAGTGGTCCGCAAGATTGGTGAGTGAGCAGATCTGGTCTATTCACCAAACGGGAGCCTTACCATTATCATGGATGACCTGTACCATACCGATCTAGTGGCTTTGGAATGCTGACAATTGTCAAAACAGGCCGGGGAAAGTACTCCGAAGTGTTCGAGGGCATCAATGTCGTCAACTACCAGAAGTGTGTCATCAAGGTCCTCAAACCGGTCAAGAAGAAGAAGATCAAGCGCGAGATCAAAATTCTGCAGAATCTGGCGGGTGGCCCGAACGTGGTAGCTCTGTTGGATGTGGTTCGTGACAGTCAGAGCAAGACGCCGAGTCTGGTTTTCGAATACGTCAACAACACCGACTTTCGGACCCTGTACCCTCGTTTCACCGACTACGATGTGCGCTTTTATGTATATGAGCTTCTAAAGGCTCTGGATTTCTGCCACAGCAAAGGCATCATGCATCGGGATGTCAAGCCCCACAACGTCATGATTGACCATGAGAAGCGCAAAGTGAGTTCTATCGTGTACGCCCCAACATAGGTCGTTCGCTGACAAGGCATGTTAGCTACGGCTGATCGATTGGGGTCTTGCCGAATTCTACCACAAAGGCACTGAATATAACGTCCGAGTCGCCTCACGCTACTTCAAGGGCCCTGAGCTGCTTGTTGATTTCCAGGAATACGATTACTCCCTGGACATGTGGTCCTTGGGCGCGATGTTTGCCTCCATGATCTTCCGCAAGGAACCCTTTTTCCACGGCCAGAGCAACTCAGATCAACTTGTGAAGATTGCCAAGGTACTGGGGACCGAGGAGCTTTTTGAGTACTTGGATAAGTACGACATTGAGCTCGACCCTCAGTATGATGAAATACTCTCTCGCTACCCGAGAAAGCCATGGCACTCTTTCATTAATGCCGACAACCAACGCTTCATCAGCGACGAAGCGATTGATTTCCTTGACAAACTCCTTCGATATGATCATGCTGCAAGTCTCCCACATCTCGTTCAATTCCCATCAGTGCTGACCTTTCTTCGCTTTTTAGGAACGGCTTACAGCCCAGGAGGCCATGGCTCACCCCTACTTCGCCCCGGTTCGCGCAGCGGAGTCGCAGGCCGCTCGGAACAATGCAACGTCTCAATCGTGAAGCCAGGCGTTGTTGACCTGACTATTACTTCATACATTCAGGGATCTACCGAACCCTAACTCAGCACCTGCTGTGATTCAATTGCGTCCTTGAACACCGCCGGCTTGGTTCGAAGTTTTGAGTCAATATCTGGGTCCAAAGAGAGTGGTGATAATCAATCAACACAGGTGGAAACGGGATCCCACGGCGGCTACTCGCTGCCTTTTACTGGTATCACTTTACGCACCGTTTGTGCGATGTGCGATGGAATGAGGAACCAAACGATGATGACAGATGACGTACACCTAATATGTTGCCTGGGTATAGAGCCTTTCACCTCAGCCTTGGCGTACAGCGCACTTCAATGTATCTGATGACCCGTTCGGACTGATTGATATTTTATATTTCACTTTCCATGCTTCTCACATCTTTTCTGCATCTTCCTCGTCTGTTTAATTTCGTAAACTGCCTCGACGGTGTTGTGGGATTCGCCTTCTCCATTACAAATTTCAGTCTTATCTTATGTCACCACCCTCCTGTGTCTACTGCGAATCCGTGTCTTTAATGTCTTTCCGTTCTGGTCATGGAAAGGAGTGAGGGGTCTTATTGGGGGCTTAATTGATTCTCTTAAGCTTGTCTCTTTTTGAAGTGGCGAAAGCATGCATTCCAGATTTGAGTCGTTTGCCTTAACGTGCGACTTTCGATAGCTCAGACTAATGTCGTACTCGTCCAGAGACGCTGCGTTACGGATGAGTAGAGAGGTAGAAACTCGTGCTCAGGCTGAGTCATATCACGTGACATGACTCGCATGCTCGCGTCTTCCCCTATCGATTAGCCGATTGAGTCAGTATCTTGAAGCAGAAGATCAAAGAATGCTGGTTGACTCATATGCTCCCCGTGTAGTATATTAGATTGGTCATTCATCTTTTTGGACATCAAAATCCATCCCATATCTCAATTGAATCGTTCTCCACCGCCGGAGTCTTTTCTGGGCCCCGCAGTAACATCCTCTGATTCGTTCCGTTCTCTGCTCTGCGCCGGCGAAATTTAATGCCCGCATTTCGCACAACCACCTGCCCCTCCCCCTCCTTGTTCTTGTCCCGGTATTCAAGATACTCATCCGGCAATTTGTGGCGCGCTCGGCGCGTTGGAGATTGTTAACTCCTCCGATTTCTAAATCATACGCAAGGATGTCTCAGCCAACTCCCTCTCCGAACCCGGGTGAGTAGTCCTCCGTGCTTTGCGCCGTGACTCATCGTCAATCAGACTGCGGGGGAGAGATAGAAATGGCTAACAGTCTTGAATTCTTTCAGTGGGTGAGCCGAAAGCTCCTATGACCGACCCCGCCCCCCAGGCCGACGATCAGACCAGAAACCAGGTTGTCGACTCTGCCGTGAAGGACGCGCAGGGTGCTCCTAAGGTCAAGAGTGAGAAAGAGTGTATGTCTCTCGAGTGTCGATTGTGGATGATATAGCATGTGCATCGGTTGCTGATTGTTGGATGTTGCCATTGGTTAGTAGAGCGAGAACGACGAAAGGCCGAGAAGGCGAAGAAGYTCGCCGAGAAACAGGCAAAGGCTGCTGCGGCCAAACCTGCACCTGCCAAGGCTGATAAGAAGGCCAACAAGATCGAGAAAGAGAAGACGACCGATGCGTACGATCCCAAAGTCATTGAATCCGGCCGGTACGAATGGTGGGAGGAGCGTGATCTTTTCAAGCCCGAGTTCGGCCCCGATGGCAAGGTCAAGCCCGAGGGTTACTTTGTCATCCCAATTCCTCCCCCGAACGTGACAGGCTCCCTGCACATGGGCCACGCTCTTACCAATGCCCTTCAGGATACTATGATTCGTTGGGAGCGAATGAAGGGAAAGACCACTCTCTGGCTTCCTGGTATGGATCACGCCGGTATTTCCACTCAGAGTGTTGTCGAGAAGATGCTCTGGAAGAAGGAAAAGAAGACCCGCCACGATCTTGGCCGTGAGGAGTTCACGAAGAGAGTCTGGGCTTGGAAGGACGAATACCATGCGAACATCAAGAATGCTTTGCGGAGAGTCGGTGGTTCTTTCGATTGGTCGCGTGAGGCTTTCACCATGGATCCCAACCTGTCGGCCGCCGTCACGGAAACTTTTGTACGGCTCCACGAGGAAGGCATCATCTACCGTGCCAACCGCCTTGTCAATTGGTGTGTGGCCCTGAATACCTCTTTGTCCAACCTCGAGGTCGAGAACAAGGAGGTCGAAGGACGTACACTGCTTGACGTGCCTGGATACGACAAGAAGATCGAGTTCGGTGTGTTGACCCACTTCTGCTATGAGATTGACGGCACCAAGGAGAGGATCGAGATCGCTACCACTCGTCCGGAAACCATGATCGGTGACACAGGTATTGCCGTGCACCCTGACGACAAGCGCTACCAGCACCTGATTGGCAAGTTCGCCCGTCATCCCTTCGTCGACCGCCTGATGCCCATCGTTGCCGATACGGATGTCGATCCCGAATTCGGTACCGGTGCGGTGAAGATCACGCCAGCCCACGATTTCAACGATTTCAACCGTGGAAAGGCCCACAACCTCGAGTTCATATCCGTGCTGAACGATGATGGTACATTCAACAAGAATGGTGGCCCATTCGCTGGCATGAAGCGTTTCGATGCCCGTTACAAGGTCATTGAGATGCTGAAGGAGAAGGGATTGTACGTGAAATGGGAGAATAACCCAATGAAGATTCCTCGCTGTGTCAAATCGAATGATGTTATTGAGCCTATTCTGAAGCCCCAGTGGTGGATGAAGATGCAAGATCTTGCCGAGCCTGCCATCAAGGCTGTTGAGAATGGTGAAATCGTCATCAAACCCGAATCCGCTGAGAAGAACTACTTCCGCTGGATGAGAGGTATCAATGACTGGTGTCTTTCCAGACAACTCTGGTGGGGTCACCAGGCTCCTGCTTACTTCGTCAAGATCGAGGGTGAAGACGGCGACGACAGTGACGGTAACCTGTGGGTTACCGGACGTACCGAAGAAGAAGCCCTCAAGAAGGCCGAGGCCAAGTTCCCTGGCAAGACATTCTCCTTGATCAGGGATCCCGATGTGCTCGATACCTGGTTCTCATCCGGTCTGTGGCCCTTCTCAACACTGGGATGGCCCCGCCAGACTCATGATCTGGAGAACTTGTATCCTACGTCTGTGCTCGAGACCGGTTGGGATATTCTGTTCTTCTGGGTATGCTTTCCGCTACGTTAGGTTCTCTGTGCTGCGCTAATCAGTTTACAGGTCGCACGTATGATTATGCTTGGTATCAAGCTGACCGGCAAGGTGCCCT